TTTTACGGGGCCGGCTGGGGTGGCAGGCAGCGAGTGACCAGCGAGCACTGGTCAGTCTTCTTTAAACCACGCTGGAATTAGATAAAACCCAGTGGGGCATCCCTAACTCAGCCAGGTATCGCTGTTCCAACGCTTCCAGAGGGACTCAAAATAAAACTAAACAAGAGAAGGAGGAAATGAATGCACAGGAAAGGGGGGAAAAAAGAGAAATGTCTCCACAGGAAAGAAGGGAGATGCAGTTTTAAGAATTCCAGGGGCCAAAGATGGGTTTTAATGCCAAACAAACCTGTGATCCTTCCCTGAGCACCAGGCTGGGATAAGCACTGGGGAGAAAAGGTTGGGAGAAGCTTCCCTGGAGTGAAGCTGGGTCAGCTCCAGGCTGGGAATCCACAGCTCCATCCCTGCCTTGGCCAAGTGATTCCATCTCTGTCCCCATCTGCCAGGGCCCAAACCAATGGGAATGAGAGGATTTCACCAAGAGGGAAATAACAGCTCCTGTGGGTGCTGGAGAACAGAAGGATCCAGGGAAACCTTGGAGAACCTTCCAGGGCCTGAGGGGAGAGGGATTTGGGATAAGGGATGGAGGGACAGGACAGAGGGAATGGCTTCCTACTGGGAAAGGGGAGATTTAGGGTGGGATCTTGGGAAGGAAATCCTGGCTGGGAGGGTGGGGAGGGGCTGGGCTGGAATTCCCAGAGCAGCTGTGGCTGCCCCTGGATCCCTGGCAGTGCCCAAGGCCAGGCTGGACAGGGCTTGGAGCAGCCTGGGATGGTGGAAGGTGTCCCTGCCCATGGCAGGAGATGGAATGGGGTGGGATTTGAGGTCTCTTCCAACCCAAACCAAACATTCCAGGATTCTGTGAGCCCTGTCCTGCAGCAGCAGAATCCTCAGCCAAAGCTCCTCAAGGCACTGCCCCAGCACAGGGAGCTGCATTCCCTCCACCTCCCTTCCCCACCAACACAGCTGAACTCCTCCAGATCCCTGCTCCAGGGCTGCCAGAGCCCCCCCAGCTCTGTCCCAGGGCAGAACGTGCTGGAACGTTCTAATGGGGCACCCCGAGGCTGCCTGAGACGGGGAAGGGAGGGAAGGGCAGATGCTGCAAGTGCAGAATTGCTGGAGGAAATTGCTCAGACAAATTAAACTCCCTCCTTTCTCCCCGTTCCCCAGGCTATCCAATTCCTCGGCGCGGGGCATCATCCACAGCCGCTCCTCTCCCAATTTCTCAGCTTCAAAGTGAAACCTTCTGCTTTCACAGCATTTTGCTAAGATGGGAACTGATGTTCCCATTCCTTCCCTCTCTCGCAGATCCCGGTAACTCCCAAATTAATTAGGGCATCATTGGGGCTTTATGGGTATTTCTCCTTTATGCTCCTGCTGCTGGAGACTCCGACAGAAGCCAGGGAGTTACAAAACCTCAGTGTTAAAACAAATCCCAGGAGGCTGTGCCGTGCCCTAAACAGAGTTCAGGGCATCTCACTTCTCCTTTCTCCTCAAAAGACAAAAACTAAAATAAGAATAAAACCTTCATTTTGCTTCTGTGTAAAGGAAACGGAGATGCTTTAGGCACGTGATACCAGGAAGACCTGACAGAGGAATTATTTTCCAGAGACAAACACTTCTACTTGGTAACATTTAGGCTCAAAATATACAAAAAAATTAAGGATTTGAGGTCTAAATATTTTAATGAAGCTGCTCCTGGGACTGGCTGGCAAAGCACATGCAGACATTCCAAAGAAAATCCTACACCTAAGGAAAGATCTCCTCAGAGGAGTCTCTGCAGCCACTGATGGAGCCCAAGGACGCAGCACAAATGTCTTTTTTAAACAAATATTATTAAAAAAAATAAGATTTCCCTTTTTAAAATGTCTTTTGGACTGAGCAGTGAACGTTTTGTTCCAAAAAAAAAGCAATTTAAGCCACTCCAGAGATGCCCTGCCACACGGATGTTTGGGAGGAGCTGAAATGGTGCATCCTCCACCCCACCACCATAAAATAGACAGCTGAGTTTCAAAAAAAAAAACCTAAAATTGGGATTTAAATACTCCAGGGACGGTGGAAATCAGAGTGAACAACACCACCTACCCACAGCACCTGGCAAACGGCAGAGGAGCACACTCAGGTGCTTTGTACAGCACTTTTTACCCTTTTCTTGACGATCTTTACCCAAAACAGGGCACACTCTGCCCGCTGAGCAGCACTGGAAGAATTCCTGCTTTCTGCTGGAATGTTCAATAGACAGTTTGGGCTCGTTTTATATTTTCTCACATATTTTTTGAACATGCAAGCAACCAAAAAAGCAAAGCTAATTAACTGGTTTTGCCGTATCTAACACGAGAATTTTTATCGTTCCTTAATTAAGCAAACAGCGGATCAAAAGGTAGGGGCAGAATAAGATGTCAAAGAACTATAAAATCCCTTCTTTTTAGAACAGGGAAAAAAAAAAAAAAGAACCAAAAAACATTTAGATTCAGCAAGTTCTCCCTAGAAATATTGCTATAAAGTATTGATTTTTTTACCAGGCTCAATTGACTGAAAAGTTGTTTGTATAGCAATATTGGCCGAGCCAATATAGTGGAACAATTTTGCTCCACACAGTAATCAAGTGTATTTCTAAAGTATAATTATACTGTCATAAAAATAAAGCTAAGATACCTCTTCTCTCCAAGCCATAAACCACTCGCAGCTGTAAAGAACCCAAATAAATGAAATCCATTTTCTAACTAAACATTGCCTTCCCAAAGAGAACAACCCCACCTCCAGCCAGGAAAAGTTGATCAATACTTCAATCTCAATAAACTATTCCAATAGTGCTTCATTCCCATGGAAAAATAAAGAGAGGATGGAGAATTTTGATTTTTAGCTCGGCCCTGAACGCTGGGAATATTTCATTGCCATAATGGATATGAGGGAGGATAAAGAGCTGGGATAAAAAAAATCACAAGAAATCCCAAAAAAAGCCAAGATAAGGATAAGAAAAAGATAAAAAGATAAAAAGAAGGGCGTGGACAGGCTCGTTGTTCAGCCACAGATCGATCCCCACGCGGCCTCTCCTCCCCACGCCGGAGAGGGAAACGGCCCAAGCTCTGCAATCCATTTTACCTGACAAATGTTCATTGATTTACTGGGATAAAATATCTCTGTGGCTGGGGCAGTGCAGCTACCTGGGAGGATTCCACCTGGAATTCCTGATTTCCTGTCGGGGCGTGGCTGCTCCGCTGGAGAGGGAGGATCGGGAACTTTTTGGGAAGGGGGGATTGCTCCAAGGGAAGAGGTTGCACCACGGGGTTGGGGCTTCTCTGCTCTGGAGCCAGGCTGGGAGAGCTGGGAATGATCCCCTGGAGAAGGGAAAGATCCAGGGAATGCTCAGAGTCCCAAAAGGGGCTCCAGGAGAGGGATCTGGGACAAGGGATGGAGGGACAGGACACAGGGAATGGCTTCCTACTGGGAAAGGGGAGATTTAGGGTGGGATCTTGGGAAGGAAATCCTGGCTGGGAGGGTGGGGAGGGGCTGGGCTGGAATTCCCAGATTTTCTGTGGCTGCCCTGGATCCCTGGGAGTGTCCAAGGCCAGGCTGGACAGGGCTTGGATCCAGCAGGGACAGTGGGAGGTGTCCCTGTCCGTGGCAGGGGTGGGATGAGAGGAACTGAATTCCCTTCCAGCCCCAAGCATCGCAGGATTCCGTGATTACCTGTAAATATCCACACATAACCGCAGTGCCCGTTCCCAGGGAGAGGCTGGAGGCGCTCCTGGGCTGGAGGAGCTCTGCAGCCACTGCAGAACCAGAACCACAGAGGAACACCCAACACAGAAACACCTCCCTGACACGGGCCCCTGCCTTTCCAGGTGAGACGTTCCCTGTCCCACAGGGCAGGGAAATGCCACTCCAGGCAGGGGATGCCAGCTCCACACCTCCAGAAACACGGGGTGCTGCCCAACAGAGCATCTACACCCCCTTCACCCAAATTCCCTGATGAAGCTTCCCTGCCTCCTCACCTGACACCACCAAGCCACCGACTGAGCTCCAGAGCTCAACATCCTCTCCCATATCTATAATAAAATCAGAAAACAACACCATTTCCTCAAGTTCTAGGAAGATCCCTCTCCAGGAAAATACCCATGTGGTTTCTGAACCACCTTTCCACCCCCAAGCCCAAACTGACTTCAAGATCCCATCCCAAGACTTCACTTCCTCCTTGGAGCCTTTGGAAGTTCATTTCCATCAAACCTTCTGCCAGGAGGAGTCGTTTTATAATGCTGGCAGCCAATTAGAAACTAACCTAAATGCACCGTGGCTTTTAAAACATTTTAGGGGAGAAAAAAATACTTAAAAAAAATGTTAATATCAAAGTTAAAATGTCTAAGGTATAAACAAAACCCTAATGGGATGCTGGGTTACTGTAGATGGTAAATAGCTCTCTGGAGGAAACCTTTATTATTCCCTCAGGGCTTTCTGACAAAGTATGGATTTCTTAATTCCCACTGGAATATTTTTCATACCCCACTGCAGACTATTAAGTCCCAGATATGACATTCTGTAGTTTAAACTTTGCACAAGGAGGAGTTTTCTCAACAGGAAAGTCTCGTGTTATTTTAATTTTCAAATTAATCCTGGCCGCAGGGTAGGAGCAGCAATGCTGAATTTTGGGGGGGTTTATCCAGCCTGGGGGGAGGGAGGGGCAGGGCACTGGTGCCACCACATCCCAGTGCTCTCATTCCAAGGAGAGCCAGCAGGAATCCCAGATCCTGGAGGCCAATCCAGCATCCCAAATTCCCCTTGCCAACCCTCAACTCATCCCCCAGAAAAGACTCAAAGCTGCGTTAAAACCGGAATAAAACCCCCCAGAACGGTTTAAAAGTCGATATCAATATTACCATTATTTTTTTTTTCCCTATGAGGGCCCACCCTAAACCCCAAAACGTGACAAATAAAGAAAAAAACCACCGTGAAATCTGAATTTTTGGACAGATTTCCACTGGAAATCCCCCCCCACCACCACTCACTTGTAGACGGTGCCTCCGTTGCCGTGGCCGAGGATGTCTCGGTATCGAATGTCTTGTTCATTCATCTCCACAAGAAAGAAAGAAAAACAAAAGAGATGTCATGCTGGGGATGGAAATGTCAAGGAAAAGCAACTCCAGGCCATAAACAACAAGCAGTCTGGGTCATTTCAAGTTCAGCTGCAAGAACGAGAAGATCAATACAACATTTGCTGTCCAATTTATAAAAGACGATACCAAGGGACAAAGTGATGGAAAGTTTAATGACAATTTGTTTGCCTGGGTCATTTCATTAAAGTTTGATAAAAGGTGTCAAAATGGAATGATATAATATAGCTCAAGAGGGTCAGGGCACTGGTACTGAGAGGAAAAGGGGCTCCAGAGCAGCACAGAAGGAAAAGTTGGAGGTGAACTGAAAGAATCCTGGCAGCTGGAAAAGTTTGGGGTTTATTCTGGAATCAGCATAATTGAGTGGCAGCTCACTCACAGCTCAATTTATATAATTATAATTTTTTTTTTAATTTAAAGAATATATTTTAAAGAAAAAAAAACCCAGTCTGGGATTGCAATAAAAGCGATTTTCCTTGAAATACACGACAAATTCTCTGCTTTAACCTTTCTGCTCGCTGGGACAACTCAGGTCCTCAGCAATTCTGCAGCAGCTGATAATAAAAGCACTGCAAATTCCTGAATTTGGCATCTTTTTAATATGGATTTCACAACAGCTTAACAATATTGCCCAAGGAGCAACTGAAATGAGAAAAAACAGAGTTAAACCTTCTCCTGGATGAGCACACTTATTCTGATTTTGCATCTGTTAAAAATATCACTAAAGATATTCTTGCAATGCACATTTATACTTTAAAATAAATGTTTTAATCAGGATTAATTCTGGGCTGAAAGGGATTTTCTTTTCTGGAAAAGATTCCCCTATTGCCTGATGGTTTTAAGTAGAAAATGTTTGGGTAAATCCTGATCTGAAAAGGTATTTTCCTAGGAAGCATTAACTCATTTTCAGTAATTACTTGTATTTTATGGGACACCAAGTTAAATATTTCACATGACTAGGCCTGGCTGCTTAAAGATGTCATTTTTGTGTATTAACACAAGTGATGATAACAAGCTCAAATGTCCCAAAGAGTCAATACTCAGCATTTCTAATGACCAGAGAATGAAATATTTTATTGATTTAGAAGAAGTTGTAAGGACAGAAATGATTCACCCAAAATTGATGGTTTTTCCTTTCACTACCTGAGCAAAAATCGTGGTTTCTCACTGGAATTGCTACACAGGGATGGGAAAACCTGACTTGAGACAACTGAAAACAGAAGTTGATTATTTTATTATGTATTTGTAATTAAACCTGGGCCAGGTTCCTTAGGAGGGCCCATCCCAACACCAAGGCTTATGATGAAAATTAACATTTATTCCATTACTGGAAGCTCCTTTGCTTATTGCATCCATCAGAAAATGCAAACAGAAAGAGGGGAATTGCTCCTCATGAGGAACAACTGAATGGGATTTAAAATACATAAAGTATCTACAGCAGACCCCTAAAATAAAAATAATTTCTCTCAGGCTGCAGATTTGCTCATTTTAAGGAGTTCTGCTCTTCCAAGCTGGAGCTGAATCCTCAACAAATATCTCCTGCATTCCCAAAAACCTCCTCCTGAGCCAACCACTCTGCAGGGAAATCCAACGAACCCACATTTTAGCTAAATTCCCATTTTTTTCCTTCTTGTTGGGGGAAAAGAGAAGATTTTTTTGGAGGTTTCTCAAGTTATGAGCAACAAATGGAGCAGAATTGGAGGTACCAAGCACATTTCTCCTGGGGAAAAGGGGAAATTTTCTCCCCATCATTCCCTAAAGGACAGGGACAGGAGCAGCTCCGTCCTCCGAGGCTCAAAGGGCAATTCCAGAATTCCAGGGAAAAACAGGAATGCTGGGCTGGAGGGAGGATCTGCAACTGATGGGGAGATAAAATGTGATTTACTGGCTCAAATAAAGATGCCAAAAGCACGGGGTGATTTATTTATTTCACTGGGAAAACCGGATTCTCCATCGTAAAAGGCGGGCTGGGATATTAAACCTGCAACCCCAACTTGCCAAAAATCCAGGGAATTCATGGAAAAACAGAGCTGCAAACAGAGCTGGGTGGGTTTTTTTGGTTTTTTTTTTGTAAATCACAAAGAGGAGAACTCCAAATTAATCCAGATTGGGGTGAGGAGCAGCCAATTGAGGAGATTTAGTAAATCCCACTTGATGGGGCAACAGGAGCCACTCAAATGTTTCTTATGAACTGTTGACACTCTATCAATGCTGAATCAATTGGTGGCATTTACCCTGAGTGACAGAAAAGAAATAAATATTTATATCCCATCACCTATATCAATGAAGCCAGGCAGAAAGCTATTTCTAACCTGTCAATATTTGATTATCTTGAAGAATCATGGCCCCTTCTTTTAATGATTAATATGAATTCCTTATTAAAGCTAAATGGAAACTACGAGGGGAATATCATTAAGGGGTGCCTCAAAGCAGGAACTGCCAAAAAATAATCAAAAATAATGGCCCAGGCCAGGCTTAAGTAATGGTAAGTGTGACTTAAACCCCCCCATAATGAACAAAAGTTAAAGTTTCATGCAGAAACCCACTACCAGTTGTGGGTCTGTGACCAAAATTTTGCAGAACATGACTGAAATAATTTGCTCTCAACAAAAAGCAGATGAACTCCCATCAGGCTGAATAAAAAGCAGCATTAAAACTGAATATTTTGTTCTTTTTAGTGGGTTTTAGTAACACTTTTAATATCAGAAGAGGTCCCTAATTTTTATTTTCTTTTTATTTGGTTTTCGTATAAAACTTTAGTCTTATTTTCTTTTTAGTGGGTTTAAGTAACAATTCCAATATCATAAGAAGTACCTAATTTATTTTTTTTTAGTGGGTTTAAGTAACATTTTTAATATCATAAGAGGCACTTAATCCTTATTTTCTTTACTTGTTTTGGTGAGTTTAAATACCATTTTTAACTTCATAAGAAGAGGTTTGGCTTTAAAATTCTAAACCCTTGGGAACAAATCCTTCAATCTCTTTCAGGGCACACCAACCACTTGTTTTCTGCTTTTTAGAACAAATAAAATGCCAAACTCAGCCAGTCACAGAGGGATTCTGCTCACATTCTGGGATTTTACCTTAAAATAAATCAGTAACATCAGAGGAAGCACCACCTCGATTTCCAAGTTACCTGCTGCTGTTACCCCCCAGAATTTCAACCCACCCAGAGAAAAATACATTTAAAGGAAGGAATCTGACAACACTGAGCTCAACCTAAAATCCTCATTTCCCAGCTGGATTCCAGAGAGGGGGAAATCCCATTTTTTTCCCCCCCAAAAAAATGATTCCAGGTGAGGCTGAAGGAAACCACAAACCTCCAGTTTTATCTGGCTGCCAATCCCAACTCCTGGATTCATGAAATGCCGATGAGGCTGGGAGAGGTCGTGGTGTGAAACCCTGAATAGGCATCTGAGATAATTAAGATTTCAGCCTTTGGAAGGCAGAGGGGAAGTGAAGAGCAGTTAAGAAAATCAATAAGAGTCTTTTATTTGCAGTGACACAGATGTCTCAGTCAATAGAGCCTAATAGGCAGCTCCCAGCCCCTGGACAGGCTGCCAAAGGGCTCAGCCTGGGACAAACATTAAAATGTATTTATTTATGTGCTTGGTGGAGAATCTGGGCTTTTTTTTAGTGGTTTTTTTTTTTTTTAATACTCTTATTTAACTGTGGATGTTTAATGGTATTGTAAACCCACCCACACAGCTCAAATTGGAGGGGGAAAAAAAAGAATTAAAACTTCAATTTTGGGTGCTGGGGGTTGGAGCAAAAAAAGAACAAGGAGGTGGTGTTCTACAATTTTGTAGACCCTCATTTCTCCAGAGAAAACCCCTAATTTCTTCCTGGAATTCCCAGAAAACCTGAATTTCTTCATGAAACCCCCAGCAAATCCTCATTTCTCCAGAGAAAATCCCTAATTTCTTCCTGGATTTCCCAGCAAACCTTTATTTCTTCCTGAAATTCCCAGAAAACCCCTAATTTCTTCCTGGAATTCCCAAAAACCTTTATTCCTTCCTGAAACCACCAGCAAACCCTCATTTCTCCAGCAGCAAACCCTCACTTCTCCTCAAACCACCCAGCCAAACGAACAAATTACACATTTATGGCTAATTTTAAATTAATATCAACACGATTAAATTAACCCTATTAATGTTAATTGCTGTTATTTATTCATTGATGAAGAAATGGCAGCTGAGAGCGGCTCTGCACCATCCAGATGTGCCCAACCACTCCAGATGTGCAGGGAAACCCAAGCACCTACCTGGCCATTGGCAAGGATTTTCTTCAGCTCTGCTGAGGACTTTTTTAAGCTGGAAAAGAAACAAAGCAAATAAAAAGCAATTATTTTTAACGAGCGGGGCCGTTTCACTCCGTCAGACAAAGCGAGGAGCAAGGGGAGCTCGTGGTTCCATATTCCAGATTAAACTCCAAGGGGAAGGTGTGGTGAGATCAGGCAGCAGGGATGAAGCAGCAATGAGCAGCTAAGAAAAATCAATGTATTTTCCAGCCTGGAGCTGGTTTAGACACCTGACTGCACAAGCTGGTGAGATACAACCTGCTGTTCACCAGCTCTGAGAGGGAAAAGTTTAAAATAAAGCTGTTCTCACATGTCAGGCTCTGCAAAAATCACAGGGAAATGCGGTTTATGTCCGGTTTCCACGGGCCATATCTGGTTTTAGAGCTTCCCAGGGTGTTATTCCTCAGGAATTCCTCTGGATCTCAGCTCCAGGATGAGAATCCTGAGCAGAATTCCTGATTTAGGAATCTCAGGATGTGGCTAAATCCCCCAGCTTTCCGTGGGCACGTTCCAGGCCAATCTGCTTTTCCAGGAGGATCTACTCCCGAAGCAACGCAACAAAACTCGTGTTGATTTACAGAACTTCACCAAACCCCAGCTCCCAGCCTGGTGAATTAAAGGGTAAAACCTTTCATGGCTTCAAACTCCTTCAAAAACTCACAAAATCCTGGTTTTTGGGTTTGTTTTTTTTTTTTCTTCCCCTCTCCTTTCCTGACAAACTCTGTTCCTTGGAGCTTCAACACAACAAACTGCCCGGGCAGCAACATCTGCAAAACTTTATCTCAAAGGGACATTCTGCTCTTATTACTGAAGTTAAAAAAAAAAAAACCAAAACAAAAATAAATAAATAAAAGTACAAAATAATATATTCTTGAAAGGCCTGTGCACGTGTCTTGATCACAGATCATTATTAACAGGAACAGTGAAAAACACAGATTTCATATTTGGTGGCTTTGTTCTTTAATAGGCCTCTTGTTCCCACGACTGCTTTAAAGAAAAATTAAGTTTTCCAAGGAAACATAAGTTGATCTTGTCATCTTTCATGACTAACAATTTGTGAACATGAAACAAAGAGAGACTTTCAATTACTTCAAAAACAAAACTCCTGGTGCAGAAGGTTTCGGAAAAGGAACGGCAATTAACCACCAGATAAGGTGACAAGAATCTTCTAGAAGCTTCATTTTCAATGCACTTGAAGAACAAGCTCAAAGTACAGGGAGTACTGAAAGCCAAGCACGCAGCAGTGACAGAAAAATCAGCTTTATTTAGCTTGGACTGCAGAGCACAAAGATATTCGGATTTATTTTCTTATTTTAAGAGTTTTGTGTCGGCTCAAACGTTCCCCAAGGGATGGGGCAAACCTGGCCAGGATGGGGTTTTTTAATTTTCCACCATTACAGAGCCTACAAAACCCACAAAACTGGGTTTTAGTGGTTTTTTTTGGATGAGGTTTCCAGTGGGGAAAAAACTCCAGCCCTGCTGTTGGAATCTCCCGCAGTAAAAATGGGATTTGTGGCTTTATCCACCCAAAATTCACCTTAAAACCGTGCCCAAAACACCACAAACCTGCCCCTCTCTGATCATCTTAATCTGCTGTAATTCACCTTTTTAATCTTTACAACATTTCTTTTTTCTTTTCTCAGTGAGAAAAGGGAGCAGGGTGCTGATGCAGAGATAAATGGAATATTATGTGCTTATTAGAATAATTTAGGCTGAAAGGAGCCTCCTGAGAATTCCATTCCCGTGGTTCAGATATTCTCTTGTAGGAAGAAGATGGAGCCAACCCCTCCTTATTCCTTTTTAAGAACACAGAAAGGTTTTTTGGGAGGTTTTTACCATCAGTGTTATGACTTCCTGTAACAATTCACATAATAAAAAGCATTTGAAAAACGAATCTCGAGGAAAAAAACAGAGAATGAATTCTCTTGCATTTGAAGATCTTAATATTGAGATTTCAAATGAGGGCTGGAATGTAAAAAGCAAAATAAGGGGGATGGACTCCAAAATTTTGCTGGAACTGTAGGAAACGGGCACCTAAGTGGAAAAGATTTTCAAAAAAATCCTACCCCTCATTAATAAACCTGAGTAACTTCATTATTTAGGCTATTTATTATTACAAACCTATGAATTCTCATCAATTCCTCATTTTTTTCCCCTGGAATTCCCATCAATCTTTCATTTCTCCAGCAGCAAACCCTCCTTTTCCCCCTGGAATTCTCACCAACCCCTCATTTCTCCCTGGAATTACAACCAAACCCTCATTTTTAACTTGGAATTCCCACCAACCCCTCATTTTTCCCTTGGAATTCCCACCAACCCCTCATTTCTCCCTGGAATTCCAACCAAACCCTCATTTTTCCCTTGGAATTCCAACCAAACCCTCATTTCTCCCTGGAATTCCCACTAACCCCTCATTTTTCCCTTGGAATTCCAACCAAACCCTCATTTCTCCCTGGAATTCCCACTAACCCCTCATTTCCCCCTGGAATTCCCACCAAACCCTCATTTTCCCCCTGGAACTCTCACCAAACCCTCATTTTTCCCTGGAATCCTCACCAACCCTCATTTTTCCCTGGAATCCTCACCAACCCCTCATTTTTCCCTGGAATTCCAACCAAACCCTCATTTTTCCCTTGGAATTCCCACCAACCCCTCATTTCTCCCTGGAATTCCAACCAAACCCTCATTTTTAACTTGGAATTCCCACCAACCCCTCATTTTTCCCTTGGAATTCCCACCAACCCCTCATTTTTCCAGCAGCAAACACGCGGGAGGAAGCCCCAGCATCCCCACCCCGACGCCACCCGCTAATTCCGCCCTTTTCCCGGGAAATCCGCTCAACCCCCGACTTCCCCCAGACCCCGCCACGCCAGGGCTCTGCTTTGGGTTTTAAAAAAAACTGGGAAACGAAGGAAAATCCAGGAAAAGGAAGAGGAGCTTGGCTCTTACCTATTGCTGGGGAGGGCCTCGGAGGCGGCCGAGGCGCCGCTGTTGGCGGCCCCCGCGCGCGTGTTCACCTGCGGGCAGCGAGAGGAGCCTGATCAGATCCGAGGACACCGTTCTAATTAACCTGTAATTTGCCACGAATTCCTCGTTTGGCTGGGAAGGTTAATTAGCTGGTTGCTAGGCACGGGTGAGGGCCGTATGTAGGTTAGCAGGCTGGCTTAAGGGAAAAGGCGGCAAAAGCCGTTGTTTATTGGCGTTTTAACCACTCCAGAACGGCTTCACGCGTTTGTGGTCGTCTCTGTGCGGTTACAGGAGCAACGAGAAATCAAAAATCCGAAATAATTCCTTCTGCACACGGATAAATGATTGGAATCACGGGGATGAGGTGGGGGTTTAAAAGCTTTGAAGTAGCAGCAGGCAGCGGTTGATAAATGGGCTAGTAAAATTTAAGAACATGATTAGCAGAGGTTAAAAGCAAAAAGGCAAACGCATTTTTAATAAAATTATATATATATATATATATATAAATATAGATATCACGTTTTTGCAGATTAATCCTTCCCTCACCAAAAAAAATAAATAAAAAATAAATTCAGAATTAAAAAAAATAAAAAAAAAATTAAAAAAATCTGCTTGTCAGAGCTCAAAAAAGTGCAGTTTTATTTGACATTTCAATAAGTGGAACACAGCATTACAAATCCATCTAACTTTCCTGAAACAATTATTGAAATTCGTACCTTGAGGCCATGTATGTTCCGTTTCCCGGGAGGTTTGCAGGCTGAAACAGTAATTGACTAAATTGTAGAACACATCAGGGCCATTTACAAATTTGCTCCAAATGAATCTTTTCAAAAGAAATGAGGGTGACACCAAAATTAGCAGAGAGAAATGATTGAAAAGTGCCTGGCGAGACCCAGAGTGGGAATTACGGCCCAGGATTTTCAACTTGCAGGAGTGAGCGTTTATAAATGCTAAGAGCTTTCTGACACCGCGTAATATAAATTCTAATTTCTGCTTAAAACACGTCGCCATCGAGAGAACCGTTGGCTCAAACGATGGGATTTCTTTTGGTAATTCAAATTCCAACCTTGTTGGCGCCGTGTTTTCGCGCAGTTGGGTTGGGTTTGGATTTTTCCCTGGAATTTCACAGTGATATTTGGATTTTTTTTTTTCAGGGAATCGGCTGCCAAGCGTCAGGAATTGGTTGTTTTGGTAGAGGCGCTTTGGGTGAAATGGAAAAACATGGAAAATGGGGAAATATGGGAAAACCGTGGGGAAAATTATGGGGGAAAACCAGGAGGGAAACACAGAAGGGGCAACAGCCTCCAAAAGGTAAATATGGAAAAAAAGGAAATTAGGAAAAAATAAAAGGGAAATACAGAATAAATAAAAGGGAAATATGGAAAAAAGGAAAGGGAAATTAGGAAAAAAGGAAAGGGAAATTAGGAAAAAAGGAAAGGGAAATATGGAAAAAAGGAAAGGGAAATATGGAAAAAAGGAAAGGGAAGTTCGGAAAAAAAGGTAAATACGGGCAAAGGTAAATACAGAAAAAAGAAAAGGTGAACATGGGAAAAATAAAAGGTAAATATGGAATAAATAAAAAGTAAATTCAGAAAAAAGAAAAGGTAAATACGGAATAAATAAAAGGTAAACACGGAATAAAGAAAAGGTAAATACGGAATAAAGAAAAGGTAAATACGGAATAAATACCACCAAAACTGTCACTTTTTGGGGACAGAGGTACAAAAGTGGCACCTTATGGTGGCGTCTGGGTTTAGAGGGATGAGCTGCTGGAGAAGGAAGATTTTTCCTGAGATGTCTCCAGGTGAACATTCCCTGTTCTCCACTCAGGGATGAGCTTTTGGAAGCTTTTTTAGGATGTGGAAGCCCCAAAGCTGCGTGTCCAACCCCTAGCACCCTACAAACGCTGGGTTAAAGGGGCTGTCACTGCTGATTGATGGCAGAAATTTGATTTTTTTTTTTCTCCCTCCCGTTTTTGACAGCAGGAAGCAGAACTATTTATTAGGCAGAAGGCCACAGGTGATGGTTATTAAACACAGCACCGAGGGCCACGTGCCTTTTAACAACATCAAAAATTACCACGTGCAGCTTCAGCAGGGGAAAAATATCATGAGGTTCTGGGTAATCAAAGAAAACCAACCCAAAATTTAAATTAGAAATACGTATGAGCACATTCTGGGTTTTCCAAGAGATTAAAATGGATGTTTTCAACAACATATTAAAGCAATAATGATTTTTATGGTGTGTATTTGGATGATGTGCTCACCTTGCATTCCACAAATGGAATAGGGACATATTAATAACATAGGGAGAGGATAGACATATAAAAATACATATATATATACATTAAAATACCCATAGATATAGAGAAAAAGATAGATATATATATAGCTATTTATATATTAATATATATTTTATATATAAGTATATGTGTATAAATAAATATATGTGTATAAATAGATAGACATATAAATATATGTATATAAATAGATATAAATAGACACATAAATAAATATATGTGTATATAAAAATATCTGTGTATATAAAATACATATAAAAATAAATATAAATACATGTGATATATAATTATTGAAATAATATTGTTTTAATAATATTAAAATTAATGTAAATTAATTAAAAATCTATGAATATACATTAAAATATAAAGATATGTATTCAAAATAGATGTATATAAAAATATATGCATATATAAAAAAATATATATAGAAATATGTGGATATATATAAATATATAGATATATATCTCTGTACACACATTTTTTATATACATACACCACATACAGATGTTTATTTTTAATATAAAACCCCCTCTGGCTTTCACTACCTAAACAGCAATAATAAACCTATTAAAAAAATAGGGAAAACACTGATTTTTAAATTTTTTTGCCCCTTAAAGATATTTTTATTGTGACACAAATAAAGCATAGCCCAGGTAACCCAGGTTGGCACATGGAAATTTACTCCTGACAGGATTTTTATGGAATACAGGAGTTTTTGGGAGCTGACTGGAAGCAGGAACTGAGGCTTCCTCAGAAGTTAGAGAGGCAGAAAAGGAAAAGAATTCAAAGGACTTGCAAAGAAATCTCTTGAAAGGGAAGAACTGGGAATTAGAGGCAGAAAAGCTGCACGGTGCTGATGGGGCTTTCAAGTGGGGAACGTGGAGAGCCACGGCCAAAAGGGCACGGGAGGAAAGTGCTGGTGCTGACAAAATTTGGGATGTTCATTAGAGAGGCAGGACAAGAAGAGAGGGAAGCAAAAAAAAAGCAAAAAAAATAAAAAAAGAGCAGAAAAGCACATTTTGTTCGGTATTTCAGAGGAGCTGCAGAGCTCAGGGGTGGGTTTGGGGAGGTTTTAAAGATCTAATCTAGGAAAAAAAGGGGTTTTGAGGAGGTAGTTTGGGAAGATGAAATAAAAACTGAGTCATTTGGAGGGAGTGGGAAGGAGGAAATACCCAGCAGAGAGCCAGAGCTGAGCCAGGGGTGAGAATTTGGAGGGGATTGGAGGGAGGGATTGAATCTGGAGTAGGACAGGGAGAATTCCGAGTCTGGCCAGCCAGAGGAGATTATCCTTGGGAAGCAAACAGGAGAAGGAGAGAGCAGCAGGAAAAGGAGGTTCCAGGTTCCTCAGGAATGAGCCAAAGGGAGAAGGTTAAATCTCAAAATGTCCCTTTGAGCCCCAGGGCTGAGCAGTTCGTGCCAGCCCTCCCCTGCACTGGGTGGTTAAAGGGAAATGTAAAGGATTTCCAGGATTTCCAACATTTTCCCAACCTACTGGGATCATCCACTTCAGTCTCCCTGAGCCACAAGAGAAGGATCCAGGGAGCCCTTCCAGGGCCTCCAAAGGGCTCCAGGAGAGGAACTGGGATGAGGGATGGAAGGACTGGACACAGGGAATGGTTTAAACTGGGATAGGGCAGGGGAAGGTGGAATATTGGGAAGGAATTCCTGGCTGGGAGGGGCTGGAATTCCCAGAGCAGCTGTGGCTGCCCCTGGATCCCTGGCAGTGCCCAAAGCCAGGCTGGACAATGGGAATTGTCCCTATCCAAGGAGTGGGGTGGGATTTAAGGTCCTTCCCACCCAAACCATTCCAGGATTCCATGATCCATGCCTGGGAAGAGGCAGGAGACCCTTCCCTCTCCCCACCCTGCGCTAAGGAGGTCCCAGCTCCTGGCTGGTGCCACAGCTCCAACATCTACGAGTTCCCTCTCAACCAGAGCCACACAACTCTCCACATTCCCCCAAAATTCCACAGGAGCCCACAGAACTTCCAGGAAACCCACCCAGCCTCCTTCAGAGACCTCATTTTTGAGGAGGCTCCTGGTTAATTGCCCAATTCAAACTTCAGAGAGTTGTAAGTAATGAAACACAGAACGTTTCATTGGGAGCCTCACAGTATGATTATTTGTGTCGTACCAGTTAAGCGAGGAGAGTTTAATTTTTAATTATTTCAATTAATTTATTGCTGGGAGATTTACTTGGAGAATTTAAACCTTCTCTGTTCCATCAATTAAGAGCCAGAGATTCGGAGCCTGGCTACTGAGATCTGAATGAATTATGTAATGCACCAGGTTTTTTGTTTTGGTATTTTTTTGAGTTTGAGTTCAGAGAGAGCATTCCCAAAAAACCTCACCAGCTGCCTCTGGACTTTTTTCAGGTTGGAAATGACCTATTTTTTTAATTGCCTCGGTCCACAGAATTGATTACATCTCTCCCTGTTCAGAACTAGTAAAGAAGGTTGTGAATATTTGGAGAACACCAAATGTCCAAACCTCAGACTAAAATGAGCCCTGGCTGGAGCTGCTGTGACAGACACATCCCACGATGGTGACAGTGACATCCCCCAGCCTGTCAGGCTGGCTAATGATATTAAAACAGCTCCAAAAAGCCAAATTTCCATAAGTATCCAAGACTTCAGTTATTCATCTGCTTTGCTTGGAATCCAGGCAGAGCCATCACCAATGAGTTCCTTAAATGTACTTAAACATGTACTCTGCAAACCTCGTTAGTCTAATTTACTCCAGGAAATGAGCTATTTCCTATGCAACAAATGCACTTTTCTCCACCTTCCCCACCAATAATGAATTCTTCCCTCCAAATGAAGAGGTAAACACGAGGCTCTGTGCATTTAAAGCTCCCCAAAAGGTGCCAGGGAGCTGTTTCAGCAGCAGCTCCTGGGGTTGTTGGTTGGGGTTTGCTCAGCATTACCTCGTGGGTAGATCTGGAGAGGCTCTATCAACTGTCCATTCACCTGCTGCTCCATCACAGTGGAGTAATACTGCAAAGAAAGCCGAGAAAGAGATGACTCAGTAATCCAGGTAAAAGCACTTACGGATTCTTTAATTTAATTGTTAATTTGGATTGTTTTCATTTTCTTCCTCACTGCCACAGTAAAGATCAGGTTCCTTTCCATCATTTCAGGTTCCCACAAAAAAGGGGGATGGAGGAATTGAAATGAGGAGCTGCCACAGGGATCTGCTCCTGGCTCCAAAGGCTCCCTTGAAATCTGGGAATGCTCCAGCAGGTGAGGAAATGAAACATTTCCAGCAAATGCAGCAGCTGGAGGAGCCAGGAAAACCAAACACAGACACAAAGACTTGACAAAAATACACCCCAAAACTGCAGCCAGGAGAACTCCACGGGAATCCCAAAGGGATCTGGAATTCTGGGCACTGATGAAGGATCAGGGATCCCAGAAAGTCTCAGCAGACATCCTGAGACACCAAAAACTCCACAGGAGCTGCTGGCGTGAGCCAGGGGATGTTTACTGGGTAAAAAAAAAGGCTCAGAATGGGCAAAACAGGGCTGGAAAAGGAGCTGAGAACATCAAAATCAGGAAGATGCTTGGGCCATGCAGGGCTGGAGCCAGACTGGGAATGTTCACCTGGAGAAGGGGAAAATCCAGGGAATGCTCAGAGTCCTTTAGGGGCTCCAGGAGAGCTGGAGAGGGATTGGGGTCAAGGGATGGAGGGACAGCACACAGGGAATGGCTCCCACTGGGAAAGGGGAGATTTGGATGGATAATGGGAAGGAATTCCTGGCTGGGAATTCCCAGAGAAGCTGTGGCTGCTCCTGGATCCCTGGCAGTGCCCAAGGCCAGGCTGGACAGAACCTGGGATAGGGAAATGAGCTTTTAACTTTTGAATTCCCATTTTACCAACAGAATTCCACCACCAAATCTAATTCTAAAGATGCAGCCAGCTTTACACACAATATAAACATTTCTGATCACTCCCTCGAATAATGAACTAAAATAAACACACCTGAGAGCATTTCCCCCCCAAAAAAATACAGGAGAAGGGGAGAGAGAGGGGGAGAAAAACCCATGGCCCTCCCCATTACTCACCAGTGATGACAAGTAAATGAAATATCAATCATGTAAACTGTCAACCTTTTGGGACAGCAATAACTGTTAACAAGTAGTCTGGAAAAATTGTCTGAAAATGACTTGTCCTCCACACACGAGCGTTGGAGGTTTCCATGGAAAATTAAGATGCCAGTGGCTATTTGGAACATTGTTCAGGTATTCTTTTTAATGGGAAATTTGCCACTTATTGATCCAGAGCGTGTAGCCCTTGCTTTCAGAGAGCTGCAAGCAACTTTCCAATCAGTGGCTGTCAAAAAAATTACTGCCTTTTTATACAGATACAAGACAACAGCTCCAGAGCAGCTCCCTGGCTGTCCTTAATTAACTGCAGTGCCCAACACTGAAATAAATCCTATTTACCATCCCCCAAAATCGGCCTCCTTCAAAGCATTTTGGCATAATCTGAAAGAATTCCAGACCTGAATTAACTCCTCGTCAAATTCATAAAGCCAAGAACCTAAAGGGAAGGTCAGGCATGATTCAAAAAACTCTTCCCAGTTTTATGTTTCCAAGTCTAATCTCAGGGAATTATTTTTTCACCTACTCAAACTGAAAAAAATCCACTTTATTTATATTTTAGAGAACACCTGCACCATGTTAAAATTTCCTGAAATACTTTCCCAGCTAGCCACTCCTCCAAATTATTTGTTGCAGGCCTCAAAATGAATATTTCTTCTCCCCAATCCTCCAAATTATTTGCTGCAGGCCTCAAAATGAGTCTTTTTTCCCCTCAATTCTCCAAATTTTTTGTTGCAGGCCTCAAAAATTAGTATTTTTTCCCCCTCAATCCTCCAAATATTTGTTGCAGGCCTCAAAATGAATCTTTTTTCCCCTCAATTCTCCAAACATTTTTCTTCCCCACTATCTACCCTAAGATTATTAAATGAATTTATTTTCTAGGCTCAGAACATTTGCAAACACATCCCAAAACCAAGCTCATAGGATGTGAGGAATTTAAACCACCAGTTCAACACTCAGATGAAAAACTAGTTTAAAACCAAAGAGAATTTTTTTTTTTTTTTGGAGAAGAAAAGCTGCTGAAGCAGAAAGAAGTCATTTACAGGCATCCCATAATTTTGAAGGGAAAGCAGAGAGTTGAGCAATCAGAACTCTAATGTACTGAAACTTTAACAGTGAGCTTGGAAGCATAGCAAAAAAATGACCTTCCCAAGGCATGATTAATCTGGAGGCTGTGCCGGGAAAATCCAAAGTTTTCTACTTTAAAGGGAAAAAATGGCTGAGGTTTTACAAGGAAAAGAGAGAAACTTGAGGAATTCTGGTGGGGAAGGATCTCCATGGGTCCAGAGGGAGGAGCTGGACCCAAAAAAAAGCTGGAAAAGGAGATGAGAACATCAAAATCCAAAATAAACACCAGGACCATGGAGATGCTGGGCTGGGAGAGCTGGGAATGTTCAGATGGAAAAGGGAAAAATCCAGGGAATGCTCAGAGTCCCTAAAGGATCTCCAGGAGAGCTGGAGAGGGATTGGGGACAAGGGCCAGCACACAGGGAATGGCTCCCACTGGGAAAGGGGAGATTTGGATGGGAAATGGGAAGGAATTCCTGGCTGGGAAGGTTGGGAAGGGCTGGAATTCCCAGAGGAGCTGTGGCTGATCCCTGGCAGTGCCCAAGGCCAGGCTGCAGCAGCCGGGGACAGGGAAGTGTCCCTGTCATGGCAGGGGGGGCACTGGAGGGGATTTAAGCTCCTCCTCACCCAAACCAGTCTGGGATCCTCTAAAATCCCACCAAAATCACCTCTGGGTGGTCCCAAACAGGGCTTGGCTCCGGCAAGCCCCAAATTCCTTTCTAGGGATTCACATCCTTCAGGCTCAGAGAGAAAATTCCCATTTTTTGCCCTCTTGCTGATTAATTTCCTTCGGAAACAGAAGTAAAATGATTTTTTTTTCACTATATTCAAACAATTCTGTTCCCATCAGTAAGTGCACCCTTCCTTTCCACAGGAAATTGATATTTATGGGGATCCAGAGAGGTTTTTACACACCCCTACCTACACAAAGCCACGCACAGCCACATCTATCTCCCCTCGAAAAACACAAAATACATCTTTAAATCCTCTATGAATATTGAGCCTGCAGCTACAATGAAACTCCTCTGCTTAGGAGGGGTGAAACAGTCTCCAGATGAAAGTAGATTTTGAAAAATTTTTAGAGCCCAGGGGTTCATTTTTAATGAGCCGTTACTTTAAGTACTGCATAAAAAATACAAGAAATTGATAGTCCATTTAGCCTGCACTATACCTAATGCAAAAGTCATTAAGATGCATTATTCTTAATGTTTATGATATGATCAGTAAGTGAACAAGTCTTTTATCTTTTTTAAAGTCGAGCGTGTCCATGTATCTGGTGTGAAACACCTCTGTTGTATCCAGGAGTATCAAAATCTGAATTTAACACAGTTAAACACTTTGGAACTGGCAATAAAAACACCAAGAAAAGAAAAATAAATATAAACACAGGGGGAAAAAAGGATTTGTTGCACTGGACTTACATAGGACAGCATGGCCTTCATCTCCTCATCGCTCCTGACCGTGATCCGATCCCCATCCTCATCCTCATCTGCCAGAGGAAGGCACCAGGTGAGCAAGGAAAACGTTAAAATTGACAATTTGAACATTTATAAATAAAGCTGGGCTTTCAGCAGCAAATAGAAGTGAAGAATCCAAAAGAGAAAAGCCAGCTGCACAAGTACTCGGAAATAATAATGATGGAAAGTGATTTCAAGTATGGATCAACGAGAATGGTGATTTCTGCCTAAAAAGGGGCACAAAGTGCTCAGAGCTTCACTTTCAGCAGTTTTTTTACTGCCAGACCCTCTCCTGGAGCTGAGCAACTTTTCCAGGCTGGAATTCCCTCCTTGATCCCTTTCCCAGGCTGGAATTCCTTCCCTGATCCCATTCCCAAACTGGAATTCCCTCCCTGATCCCATTCCCAAACTGGAATTCCCTCCCTGATCCCATTCCCAAACTGGAATCCCTATTATTATATATTATATAACTATATATGATATTTTATTATATATTATATAGGATTATTATATAGGATCTATTATATAAGATCTATTATATAATCATATATCATATATTATCTAATTATAATTATATTATTGTATCTATTATATATCATTATAATGATATATAGTTTATTATATATGTTTATTATTTATATTATTATATATTCATGTCTTATATTAATACATTATTCATGTCATATATTATTGATTATATAAAATATATAATTTTAGCTAGAACAAAATATATTTTATTCTATTTAATATATTTTAAGATATTGTTTTCTATTAACATAAATTCTATGTATTTGTTTAAAAATTACAGCCCAGAGAAGGGAGGGAAAATCCAACCCCAGAGCAGAGGAGCCCAGATGGGAACGCTGGGGGTGAGAATATCAAAATAAAAAGCACAAAAACCAACAATGGTGATGATTATCCCCACCCAAAGGAGCAAAACTTCAAGCAGAAAAAAATCCAGGGAGGGAAAGAGGGAAAAAACAAACCCCAAAAAATACCCTTTAAAAAAAATAAAAATAATACAAATAATAATTAAAAATAAAAATAAATAAATAAAATAATAAAAATAATAATAAATAAAATAATAAATAATAAGAATAAGAATACTGTTAATAATTAAATATAGAAAAATAATAAAAATAATGATAAATAAAATAATAAAAATGAAAATAAAATAATAAAAAGTAATTAAAAATAATAAAAATAATTTTAAAATAACTGAAAAATAACTGAAAAATAGCTGAAAAATAACTGAAATAATAAAAAATGATAAAATAATAATAGAAATACTAAAGTAATATAATAACAAAATAATAATAAAAATAATAATAAAAATAATAATAAAATAATAATAAAATAATAAAATAATAATAAAATAATAATAAAATAGTAATAAAATAGTAATAAAATAGTAATAAAATAGTAATAAAATAGTAATAAAATAGTAATAAAATAATGATAAAAATAATAATAAAATAATAATAAAAATAATAAAGAAAAAATAATAAAAATATCCAGCTCATCTTTTAGATGCCAGTTAAGTGGCAGGGGAAATGCAGCTGGAAATGACAGAGCAGGGAAGGCACAGCAGCAGATGTTGGGAGGCACAAGGAAAGCAAAAAAACCAATAAAAATCCGGATTTTCCAGGAAATTCCACACATGGCACCATGGGCTGCTGCCCTGATGGCAGCAGCTGCTGCTGGAGCATGAAGTTCAAACAAAGCTCGTGTGGGATGGCAAACAAATATTAACATCAAATAAAGCACAAAAAAAGAAATAAAAATATCGATATAAACGGTGAGGTTCTGGTGGCTGGATTTGCTCAGCGCCAAAAAGGCTCAGAAATGAAATTTCTCTGCTCTTGCGGTGTTTTAGGAGAGGGAAAATCAACATGTGGAAAGAAAAAGAGCATTAAATGGGATTTGAATAATAAATCATAAATTATAAATCAATATTTGATTGGATGATCTACAGACAGAACGAGACACAAAGCTCTAAAAAGGGAGAAATGCTGATAAAAATGAGAATTTTTGTCACCCCCAGCATCCCCTCCTGCATTTTCAGCTCTAAAAAGGGAGAAATGCTGATAAAAATGAGAATTTTTGTCACCCCCAGCATCCCCTCCTGCATTTTCAGCTCTGTCAAAGGAAAACTGAGGAAAAAAAAAAGTAATAAAAACTAAAAGAAAACAGGAAAAGAGAAAAAATTTTAACAATTAATTTAATTAAAAAATTAAAAGAGAAAAGGAGCATCCTCCATTTGGAAGAAAACTCCCCTTTTTCAGTATTTTATCCCCTTTGCTCTCCAGATAGGAAAATCCCCAAGGAATCCCTTTCAAAAATCAAAATAAAAATAGTTGAAAGAACAGTTTTATTTATTATTATTTAGTTATTTTAGTTTTATTAGTTTAAATACTTGCTGGGAGGATTGGAGAATCACAATTTTAAGCTCAGAGCTACAGGTAGTTTATATTTTTCATTTAATTTGAGCAATAAAATTGCACTGAGGAGTAAGAGCACGGTAAGGTCAGGTTGGTAATTAAAGCTACTTCATGGAAATATTTCAGATGTGATTAAATAATAAAATATTACTTGGTTTTGTGCCATTATTAAAGTTGTATTAAGGCATAAATATTTAACCGTGACATATAATGAATATTGTGTATTTTTAAATAATAAATATAATAACATAAAAATAATAACATAAATATGATGGTGGTTTTGTTGGGTTTTTTTTTAAATTAAAAAGGAATTGGTTGATTAAAAATCACACTTACACTCAAAAGCTGTGGTCGTTGCATCTGGTAAAACTTGACCAATGACATCCTAAAAAAGTAAGGAAAAATTAATTAAATATCAAATTTAACTGATTTATCAGTATCAAATTTATCTGGTTTACATTAAATCACTTTAATCCCTCCCTGCTGAAGAGAAAGAGAAAGTTTTTAGGCACAAATCTGCACCAATCACGATGTTTTTCTCCTCCCCCTCCACGTCACCTCCAGGAAAACTCCTTTTTTTCCCCAAATAACTCCCTCAGAATTGCAAACAGCTCCGTTTGCAGGTGCAAAAATCCATTTTTTCCCACGGGTTATAAAAAAATGGATGATAATAATAAAAAAACAGGCACCAAAGTGATCAAAACCAGTCATAAAAACAACTTTATGAATTTTTTTTTTGCTGTAAAAAACCTGTTTTCTCCTTTTTGGAGGGCTCTGTCAGCCTCACCTGGGATTGAACTTCTCCAAAATTCAAATACTGGGGGAGAAAACCCGGTTTTGGAAATTTATATATATTCATATATATATAACACCCAAAACAGCAGAGACACAAAACACAAAAACATTTCCAGCCACACATCCCTGCTCCAATCCAGATTTTTTTGCTGATACCAGAGAAGAATTTTTCCCATTTTTTCATCCAAACCACACCAAAATTTCCATTTTCAATCCCTGCTCCAACCCAGCCTTTCCTGCTGGTACAAAAACCAAAATATTTTACAATTTTTCAGGCAGAATTTCCACTTCCAATCCCTGCTCCAGCCTTTCTTGCTGCTACCAAAAAAATGACTTTTCCCATTCTTTTTGTCAAAACACCAAAATCTCCACTTCCACATCCCCTGCTCCAACTCAGATGTTTTTGCTGGCACCAAACTTTAATAAAAAACTTTTTAATAAAAAAAATACTTTAATAGTTTTTTCAGCTTTTCCCATTTTTTTCATCCAAACCACACCAAAATTTCCATTTCCAATCCCTGCTCCAGCCCAGCCTTTCCTGCTGATACCAGAGAAGAGTTTTTACCATTTTTTCAGCCAAAATTTGGGTTTCCAATTCCACTTCCAATCCCTGCTCCAGCTTTTCTTGCTGCTACCAAAAAATAACTTTTCCCATTCTTTTTGCCAAAATCTCCACTTCCACACCCCTGCTCCAACCCAGATTTTTTTTGGCTGGGACCAGATAAGTTATTTTATATATTATATATTATATTTTATCATTTTTTCCAATTTTTTTCTCATTTTTCCAGCCATTCTTCTGCTGCCAGGGAGGAGCCACCGAGAGAGCAGAAATTCATCAACTCCAGGACTGATTGCAATAAATAATTGATTTATTTCTATTATTTGTGATTTATTGCACATCCCCTGGGAGCCTCTCAGGGTGCTGAACACCTCCCCTGAAGTCCTGTCACTTCTGCTCTCCCCATTTTTCTCTCCCATCTAAAAAGGGAAAAAAAAATTAAAAATAAGGAAAGGAAATTAAATATTCTGTGCCTTGCTATGGAGCACATAAAAATATAAAATAAAATATAAAAAATATATAAAATATATATAAATTATAGAAATAAATAAATTATATAAATATAAAAATATATAAATTATATAAATATATAAACTATATAAATATAAAAATTATATAAATATATAAATTATATAAATATATAAATTATATAAATTGCATAAATATATAAATTACATAAAAATAAAATAAAATAAAAATATGTGAAGGCAGCAGGAGATCTCTGCAGAGCCAACTGAAGCAAGTCATAATTACAAAAAAAAACTTTCTCCTGCTGCCTTCTGGGTTTAGATGCCCAAAAAAATCCAGAGGTGCTGTTCAAGTTATTAAATTGCACACAAGAAATACACAGTGTGGCTCAATTATGGGATTGTGAATTTGTAGAGGCAAAAATAGGGAAAAAATACCAAAACCCAAAATATTTCCATGCTGATAAAAATTCTTCCCTTCTCCAGGGGTCAAAAGAATTTGTCAAAAAAAGTCAAAAAGAATTCCCTTCTCCCTCTGTCAAAAGCCACCATTTCTAATATGAAATTAGAAATAATAGTTGTTTCTAATAGATTCTGCTTTAACAAAAATGTACCAATTATTTCTAAATCCATTCATTTAAACATTGAAAATGCCTCAGCAAACACACTTTAATTGTGTGGGATTTAAGTAAGAACATTAAATAAATGTTCACGTACGGGCACACAGATGCTTCTACAAAATGGATTTAAAATTTGTTTAAAAATTGGATTTAAAGGGTGTGGAAGCCTCAGATGACCCCAAAAACCAGCTTGGAAAACTCCAAACCTCTCAAAGAGCTGAAAAAAACTGAAAGAGTGATAAAAAAAATTCTTATTTTCCCTGCACCCCCTTCAGAATAACTTTTTCTGAGTATAGAGACTTCTTTAATATGAATAATGAGTAATAAATGAATTATTATATTTATATTAGATATCATTGTTGTTTATATTATTATATATTATATTAATGGGATCAATTATATGATATTAAATGACATTATTATTATTTTGGAGCAGCAGCTCCCTCCCATTTCCCCACTCCAGCATCCCCCAGACCTCGGCGTGACCCAGGATTAAAGGATTATTCTGAATTTCAGAGGATTACACATGCATGGGGATTTTCTACTACCACAACAGAGACCAAGAACAATAAAATACTACAACTTGTAGGCTTTGCTTAAGTGGGTTTATGTGAGGGATAAAGAACTGAAAAGCTCAAAAAATGAGGAGGGGAAAAAAAAAAAAATAAATCAGGGAAAAGCAAATCCAAAGAAATTTTGGATTTCTTTTCTGCAAAAAGAAATCCAAAATCCAAATTTGTTCACTGGAGGAGCATGGGGGAGAAAGCAGAAAATGAGAAAGCTCTGCTTAAATATTGAACCTGCAATTAACTTAAATATAACTTAAATATTAAACCCACAATTAACTTAAATATAACTTAAATATTGAACCCACAGCTCTCACCTTGCACTTAAAACTTGTTTTATCTCACTGATAACGTGAGGTTACCCAGAATTAACACTCAAATACCTCAGTGACAGAGGGGATGCAGACAGCTTGAGGGGGAAAAAAAAAAAAATAAGCTTATTGTAATTCATTTAGTGAGGGAGGGCTTCAAAATAAATCTATTTACTGGTAACTTCCAGGCCTGCAAAGCTGATACTCAGAGAATTTATTTAAGGTGACATCATGAAGAAGATGCCTGAAAATGAGGATGGAAATAAATTTAAAGGCCTGAAATGCTGCTGGGAGGCAAAGTT